AGCGGTGGGGGGCGAAGACTAGGAGCCGTCCCTCAAGTCTTACACTGCTAAATTAGGGACGGCTAGCGCAGATAGCCTTCGTGTAGCTTTGCGCGAAATTCAGAAACAAACAAACAATTTATAATTTTAATGGAAAGCTACACAAGGATTATTTGTACATAGCCATCTCCATTTTAAATAAAATTGATAATAAACATAATACACTACATAATAATGTAGGTCACACCACAACAGTCGTTGTCTATGAAATCTGATGATATAAATAGCGCCTAGAACATTACTATGTCTGTTGTATTCCTGCCGACCTCATGAGCTCTGGTATAGAGCGAAAGGCCTCGTGGATATTGAATATGGCAGAAGTACGGTGACTGGCATATTATAAAATATTATTCTTTGTTTTCACGAATAAGTTTTTAGAATGTCAACAAATAAAGACTATATAACTTAGTCAACAGCACCCACCGCCAACTCTTGACTGATAAAATAGTGGGATGTGACAGTCAATCTTAAGGTACGTCCATGTTTGTACAGAACTAGGATGCTAATCACTTGAGCACGCCAGTATCGATTTAAACCAAAAAGCAGAGAAGACGGTTGCTTATAATCGTATACTTTAATAGCTTTCTCAAATAATTTTTAACTTTAAGAAAAACTTTTAAAAGGTTGTTTTGAAGGATATTTTAATGCAAAAGAAAATTGTAGAGAAAGGGAGGGAGGAGAGCACAGGAGTGAAATGGCCTATGAATAGGTCTTAATTGAGCCCTGGACGACGTCCAGTCCACAAGTGTCGAGAAAGGCTTCCAACTGTAATCATACAAAGGTCATATCCTCTGAAACTGGACAGATGTTCAGAATATTACAGTCCTGTTCTTGACAGTTCACATAAGTACGTGGAAACGTGCAGCAATTACAATCTTCAACATAAAGACTTTTAATGACATCAGATGCGAGCCGAGCCTTTGGTGTAGCCAATTGGGGACAAGGATTCAGAAACATACACCCTCATTTTGGGGGGAACGACGACCCTTCTATGCTGAAAACATATGGTGTCAACAAACGTTTTAAGAGGGAGACCTATTTGTTGAAGATGTAAAATAAAACATGCAAGAAAATGAATAAAGAACACTGTTCGATATTTTGTAGGACAAGGGCCACTTAGCCCGACCCAATGGATGATAATGAATATGCTAAACATCATAACGATATGAACATTAAATACACATCTCTGTTCTAGTCTAACCGTGGGAAGTAAACAGGTGTATGGTACCACAATTGTGCATCATAACGATATGAACATTAAATACACATCTCTGTTCAAGTCTAACCGTGGGAAGTAAACAGATGTATGGTACCACAATTGTACATCATAACGATATGAACATTAAATACCTCTCTGTTCTAGTCTAACCGTGGGAAGTAAACAGGTGTATGGTACCACAATTGTACATCATAACGATATGAACATTAAATACACATCTCTGTTCTAGTCTAACCATGGGAAGTAAACAGGTGTATGGTACCACAATTGTACATCATAACGATATGAACATTAAATACACATCTCTGTTCTAGTCTAACCGTGGGAAGTAAACAGGTGTATGGTACCACAATTGTACATCATAATGATATGAACATTAAATACAAATATTTGTTCTAGTCTAACCGTGGGAAGTAACCAGGTGTATGGTACCACAATTGTACATCACAACGATATGAACATTAAATACAAATATTTGTTCTAGTTTAACCGTGGGAAGTAACCAGGTGTATGGTACAACAATTGTACATCATGACAAGATGAACATGAAATACACATCGCTGTTCTAGTTTAACCATTTGTTTGGGCTATATTTGCTATGCCAGTATCGAAATATGTTTTTTAGCGCTATAGGCCTTTAGGTATATTGCTGAGCCACTGAGGGGCCTAATCTAATCGCGATAAATAAACGAGGGCGTGATACTAGACTACCAGGTTCGTTCTTAACGAAGGAAGAAGAGTTAGTAAATTTCGTAACATAAATCATAGTTAAGTGTGCAGCTTTTGTGAGACGACGTACGATAGAAATAAATAATAGCACCACGAACATGCGTGCCTTAAATCTTGTGCGTGGTATTCCACGTGGACCGATAACACGCGAGAAACAACTGTCGTAGATTCCATATAATAATATCTCACAGTAACCAGCTTCAGGAATCCACAAGATTGTTCTTATCACGGCTTCTAGAAAGCAGTGTTATAGAGGGCTCTATTCTCATACATTACTGACGACCTTATTATGGGTTTACGTCGTACTGGGGACAATAAATCTTTATAGAAAAGTGTATGCTGGAATACCGTTCTGCTTCAACACATATGTTTTAATCAATTCTTTAATGAACCTACAAATTAAATGCAACTACAGACAAAGAACGAAAGTAGGTGAGAAAAGAAAACATTACAAATACTGAAGTGACGTGAAAAACGAAGCTCAGTGGCTCCATCTTCCGTCAATATGTTTCTACGCTTGTCCGGAATAGAAATATAAAATATATAAATATTCTTCATGCGTTTCATTCCATGTATCTGAGAATCACAAATTTTGACAGTTTTTATTTCAAACTACTAACGCAAGATTTCTTCATGTATTCGCTAATGTATAGATTATAAGCTAACTTTTGCTTCAGATTATTATTTACATTGCAGTACGTTACAAGTAATTCCTAGCAATATATTTCAGCACTTTTAGACTTAAAATAAGACCCAAAACTTTCGAATAGTTGACTATACTTCACCCTTTGTTCTCCTGAAGAAGAACAGTCAACTATTCGAAAGCGCTCGAGTTTTGTGTCTTATTTTAAGTCTATTACACTTTATATGTTAACTCTTTTATCAAAATTTCAGCACTTTTAATATGAGTGACTAAAGAAAGGGAGGAGGAGACTTACACTTAAACCATGTATTTTTGTTGTTGTTGTTATTATTATTGCTTATGTCTCATCTAAGTGTATGTGTATGAAAGACGAGACCTACAAGTATATTATTTCTTAAAAATAACTAAATTATTGGTTGTTTCTAGGAAGTAATCACTACCCTGAACCTCACACTATCCCTCACGAAACTGAAGGTGTCTTTGTGTAATGCTTCACAATGGCCCATTTGTACTCTGTCCACGGCAGGGAATCTAACCCCGGATTTTAGAGTTGTGAGACAACAAACAATGCCCTGAAAGGTAAAGTAACTGAAATGATGATTGAATGATTAATCATTAAAGATCAAATCAAGTTTGGTATTTATTAAACAGCATTTACCTTTCTGTGCTTGACCTTGGGGTCACTGAGTTTACCACATAAATAGGACTCGAAACCTACAAGTTAGGTCAAGGTTCACCAAAAAAATATCATAAAAAAATAGTACCTGACCTCTTGGTTACCTTTAACATAAGAGTAATTTGGGGGCGATAAACATTATAAACATTAACTAGGATAAAAGATTAAACAAAAGGTCACAACTAATATTTAACCTCTTGGAGTCACTTTAATCTTTACAATCCATGACATATAACTTGCTCAAAGTTAGCAGAAAAAAAAGCATTGAATTAAGTAAGCCTCTTACCAATAATGATCATAGACATTTTAAAAACAAATTTAAAACCAATAGGTTAGAAAATAAATAAATAAATCATTTGGCTTCACGTGATTTGGGGTTAACAATGAACTTAATGCATTGTTACCACTAGATGTGGAACCATAGAAGTGACGTAATGACATTAGATCTTTATCAGACTGGAATCACATGTATACAGGATAAAACTTTTGTTCCTCGACCATGGTTGGCCACAAATAAACAACATATTAGCTTTAAATTATGTGATTTGGGAGATCAACTTGTTTTGCATTTGTGTGAACTAGATCTTTGTGTATAATTCCGATGAGGAACTATAATTTTGACCATTACACTCTTCAGGGTTTCCAAGTGCATGTATGAATCAAATACAAGGCGATACATACATTATAAAAAAAAAGTATTTCTCTATTTAAAAAAACCCGAGGAGGTAACTCTGTAAAACAGAAATTTTGTCTGTCTTGGAAGATACACAACTCCATGGTACAAGGAACAATTTTGGTGAAAAGTCAGTTAAAAACTGTAGAAACAGCTGATCACACACAATGATCAAATACGTTCATAAAAATGACAAAGTAAGTCGTTAGCACGATATGAAGTGCGTGAGCTTCTGAAAAGACAATATGCTTGGAAAGTGTTAATGTTTTAGCACTTGTGCATTATCAGAAAAACCCTTGAGAGTGACAAAACATTGTCAAGGTTTAATCCTTTTGAAACAGACTGTCAATCCAGAGCAGATATTATGAACCAGAACCTGCCAAAACGGGATCTATTGAAGACCAGCAAAGTGTCAAATTACAAACATTACAGCACCTTATTTAAATAAAGAGAATGAAACTGATATGGTTACTTGTTTGCTTATCTGCACTGTTTCCCTTTCTTACAGTTTACAGTTGCATATTAAAACTTTAGTGGTAATAATAATTTTAGGTAAGACAACCATAAACTAAATATACAGATGAACCAAAAAGGGCTAGCGATAAATCAATCTTTTACTATAGTTACCTTATTGTTGGCTCCCTCTAGTTGTAGACTAATGAACTTTGTATGAAAAAATAATCCTTAAAAATAACATTTTTGCTTGTCATCAGCACTTAAACAGAGATACTGTAAAATATTTTCAGTTGTTAGATCATACATTCATTTAATTAGCTAAAATGATTTCTCCTTAATTATAGTCATTTTTATATAGGAGAGAAGGATTGTTATATATTTTGTTGGACTTCATTAACAAGGGATGTTTATCCTTGACCATTGGGATTCTATGCAAGTTTTATTTTTGATTGTTAACTTATGCCACAGATTTATTGATTAGACTTTGACCACTGGTAGTTTATATATTTTGTTTTATGTTTTAAATTCCAATGGAACTTGATCAACATAATTTACCATCTTTAACTGATGGTTTTTATAAGGAGTATTTCATACACTACTGGAACTCCATTAATTTATTTAGTCATCTTTGATTGCTGGGATATCATACAGGAGAGTTTTATATTTTACTGTAACTCCATTAACACACTTATTCATTTTTTATTTTTGATGTATCATACAGGAAATTTTTACATTTTACTGTAACTCCATTAACAGACTTACTCATTTTATATTTCTGGCATATCATACAGGAAATTTTTATATTTTACTGGAACTCCATTAACACACTTACTCATTTTATATTTCTGGTATATCATACAGGAAATTTTTATATTTTACTGTAACTCCATTAACAGACTTACTCATTTTTTATTTTTGATGTATCATACAGGAAATTTTTATATTTTACTGTAACTCCATTAACAGACTTACTCATTTTATATTTCTGGTATATCATACAGGAAATTTTTATATTTTACTGTAACTCCATTAACACACTTACTCATTTTTATTTTTGGTATATCATACAGGAGAGTTTTATATTTTACTGTAACTCCATTAACACACTTACTCATTTTTTATTTTTGATGTATCATACAGGAAATTTTTATATTTTACTGGAACTCCATTAACAGACTTATTCACCATTAGTTTTTGGTATATCATACAGGAGAGTTTTACAGCCCTCGTATTTGATAAAAGGCCTTGTCAACACTTGATATGGCAGGTCTAACATGGTTGATGTATTATAACGTATCCTGTTCAACTTTGTTGATATATCATACAGTAGAGTTTTAAATTCTATTGGAACTTCAATAACAGAACTGATAAACTTTGATTGCTGATATATCGTACAGTAGAGTTTGTATGTCACTGAAAGTTCGAAACAGAATTGTTAATCTTTATTACAGGATATTATATCATACAGAAAGCTTATATTTTGCTGGAAGTACAATAATAAATTTGTTAATCCTTGCTGGAATATCTGCAGTAAAAACGTGTATTTTACTGGAACTCCATTGATAGAACAACTTCAGTTACAGGTTTTTCTTAACAGTTTCTATCTCTTGTTTATCTTACACCAATGACACTTTATGGAAGATGACAAATCATTATCACTGGAACTATTTTCTACAATGTATGACTGATTTCAAAAAGTGTATCAAGTGACACATCTTTGTTTGTAAAGCGATTATTACTTCCCACTTTTAGACTCCAAATATAAGTGTGGTTTTCTATCTGATTGGAGAATATTTACTTAAAGCTTTAAGACCACAGTATCTATGATATAATAATGTAAAAAGCCTAAGCCTTACAACCATTATTTATTAGCACTATTGAAAAAGTTTTCTCTTGTCAATGCTCTATTACTAAGACTCTGACCATTCAATCTTCAACCTGGTAGCCTGATAATTCTGAAATGCAAAATATACAATCATTTTCCTGGTATTATTAACAACTGACATAAGTCATATAGGTACCTTACTACTCACCGTGCCATTCATGAGGTTTCTAACTAGCGGTTCTTCATGTGAGAAGAATATAAGTAACCTATTAACAGTGGTTTCTAATTACTGGTATTTCATAAATGTCAACCAAATGCATTTAGTGTACTCCCCTATAACTGTTTGCTCATATTCTAATGAATGGAACTTCTTAAGCACGTGTGTTTTAAAACAAAACATATTGTACTTAATGAGTAGAGTTTATCATTAGCCTTAAACTTATTAATCCGAAATATTTCAAACAGAATGTACTACCAGAAGAAGTGAATTTTGGGATTGAAACCACCAACATGTGCTGTCTGTATGAACACAAAAGCTTGATTGTGCTCTGAAGTTGAAGGTATGTTAAAACTTTATGTTTTGGTAATAACAAATTGTATAGTGCTACAAAAATATTTCAGTGTATTTTTTTTTCTATGTTACAAATACGTTTAGAAATTGAGTTGATATGCCTCGCTACTGATGACAAGACAGCATATAATTGTGTATGTGCAACTATACTGTATCCTGATTTCAATTCAAACACATTCAATACCAGATACAAGAAATTCATGAGCCAAGTGAGTTAACTTAAGTTATCTGTTTTGAAAAGCTTGAGCCAGGCATCTGAAAGACATATACTGTCTTTGTCTCTAAATTTATTTCAAAGAAGAGAATGGAAAATATTTAACGATAAGTTGACACTCACAAGAGATATGTTACTTAAAGGCATTCCAGATTTTGATGCTGTTCAGTGAGCTCTGTTGCACAGTTTTGATGATGATTAAACACATTGGATAAATCAAAACACAAACTTCCTCATTTAATGCCCTCACACATTTTCTTGCTGGAATGGATATGTTTCTGGATCACAAATTTCTGTATTAATAAAATAAGAATAAACGTGACACTTATAATATTCAGACTAACCTCCCAGTTATTCTAATTTGTATGGATCAGAGCAATGCAGCATGTTGTTGAAGTATTAATGTATCATGTGAAATGTGGCTAAAGTACTTGTGTTCAGGAAACCTTGTAATTTCACTTTAAAAAATGTCAAGTAAATGCAGGCTCTCAGGTAAAAACATTTCTTGTAAAGATAGGTTGATCTGATTCCATTAATGTAGTTCAATGACATTATGCAACACTTACCCACACCAATCAAATATAATTTATTATTACTATTCACCAAGATAAAGTACAGGTTTTTCATGAATTACAGACTATGATACTAAACTTGTCTTGATTATGAACTTCTTAGTATTAATGTAGTTCAATGACATTATGCAACACTTACCCACACCAATCAAATATAATTTATTATTACTATTCACCAAGATAAAGTACAGGTTTTTCATGAATTACAGACTATGATACTAAACTTGTCTTGATTATGAACTTCTTGGTATCTTATGCAAACTGTACCATAACAAACAGTCCCTCAATACTGTACCAAAACCCACAATACTTACCATAGCCATAGTCCACATACTGTACCATAATGACAGCCTCTTAATATTGTACAATAAGAAAATTCTCATGATACCTCGTCAGACAACAGTCCTATGATACTTTACCATAACAACAGTCCCCACATTATTGCACCTCAATCCAGAGTTCAGTAACATGGTCATAAAAAGCATTCACTAACTACTGAAATCCAATAACAAAGCTGCAGAGAAACTACAACTTTTGTGTGTGTGTGAGTTTGCCATTAGCTTGATTACATTGTAATCCACTACTGCTACTACAGTATAGGGATTGGAAACTATCTAATGGTGACAAAAACCCAAACTTGAATCTAAGAGAAATACAATGGTGAATGTTTGTTTTGGAACATATGACCAATTAGAGCATTTTGTACGATTTTTCATACTTGGTGTGTGGTCTAAGATTACATCTGGCAATCATGTAAATAATAGAGAATCAAATCAGCTGAAAAATTACAGTAGTAAAGTACAGAAAGAAAGATATGAAAAAAAATTAATTAAAATGTTATACTGATGAAAAGTGATATAGCCAAGCAAAAATAAAAATGACAGCATCTAAAACACTAGTATGTTCACTAAAGGGTGTCTTCCAGAAAATCTGAATCAAAATAAAGTAAGATATGTGTACCTCTCTAGTGATATGAAGTGTAGACATAAAGCCAAAGGAAGATCAGGTGTGTTAAGTTTTTATCTTTTATATTAAAGTACCCCTGTTAGGAATAATAGACTTAAAATAAGACCCAAAACTCGAGCGCTTTTGAATAGTTGACTATTATTCTTCAGAAGAACAAAGGGTTAAGAATAAGATTTTTATTGTCTATATAAGTAAGCCTTTTTTTTATGTCAACTTCAGTTTAAAAGGAACATTAAAGATCTCTTCAACTGACAACAAAACAAGTTTCAGTTGTGACAGCTTCAGATAATTTATTGCAATACTGGAAAGGACTCCCACTGGTCACAAATTTCTTAATTAATGATACCTTTAAAAGGCACAAAGTCACAAATCAAAATTAACTTGTATGTAAGTAGATGCTTAAATGAAAACTTTCTTTAAATTTATAATTATAACAAAATATTTTTCATTTCTGTGAAGTATTGGTGTTTATTGTAATCTTTCATGAATAACATTGTTTCAAGTTAGTGGTTAAACAATGCACTCTCTACTAAAACCTACACTTGGTGTTGGAATTTTCCCAGATTTCTCCCCCTTAGAAAGCTTTTGTAACCAGACTAATAAAATCCACTAAATAGTTATTACTCTTCATTTCAAGAGTTGAAAACAAAAGATAAAGAAACTCATAAGATAACTGGGGGTGGGGGAATGGAATTAGGGAAGAATGGTATTTCAACTTTTTGTCTTTTTTTGGATTTCACTTCATAGCACATTTTTCATTTGAAAAAAAACAAAATTTTTTTCTATCTATTATTAAGTTATAGCACAATTTCTATCTTCAATGCTTCATTATTGATTCGATTTGCTTACATTACAGAGATGTGTCTTATTATATTACTTTCTCTACTATTTCTAAAGAAACATATCAGCAAAAGAATAATTAAAAAATTACATAAGAACTATTTATGTCAAGAGCTTTTACGTGTTATAAGTTTTAATAAAAGTACCTTGTTCTTTAAGCTACATTAAGTTTAATATTATTATTATTATTGTGTTTTATCAGTCAGCCAGTACCCTTAATTATTAATACTTACTGGAAAGAAGCCTCCTGGTCCTATAGGCCCACCTGGCATACCTTCATTAGGTGGCATCTGACCCAAAGGACTGGGCGCTGAAGGATTCTGAAAATGGGAAAGTAATACAAACAAATAAGTTTTTAGTTTTTTGTTCTTAATAACAAAAAATATTTATTTTAAGAGGGTAAGAGATAACATAGACTTTAGTTCTCCTGAAACGATTTAGTGAAACAAGTATTATTTAACGTTTAGTAATTTTATTTTATTTATTTTTGACAGTGAAGTTATGTGTCGCATTGGTAAACCGTCAAGTTATTCATTTTTTAAATTTCAACACCAAAGGTAAAAAATGTGCTTTCTTTCTACTAGATGACGCCACAATCGTCTCATGGAAGAACACCAGTATCCAGTGATCTGAAAAGAAATCCCTCAAGTACCGTGGGTGGTGGTGTTAAAATACCTAAAGGAAGTGTTTGAGAGCCACGAAGTATTTATAATCTTATACACACGCTACTGAACACAATAATAATACCGCTTACAGCGTGCATTGACCATAATGTATGCATGTTTACTTGAAGAGACGTTATCGAACAATTAATTGTCTTGTCACTCAACAAGTTGTGATAATATTTATTCTATAACGCCGTTGCAATCAATTCTAATTCACTTGTTTACCCTTTTTTCCCCCGATTATTAATTTTCAATTAACATCATGTTAGGTTCCCCCAAAAAGAAATTATCGCTGTTCGTTCTTCTAAATCTATAAACGTACTGCACCTGTTACACAAAATATATCAAAAACGGTTTGGAAATAAAAACTTTCACTACATCTAAAACTTAGCGATTTGTTAATAACCGAACTTGTTTTCAATATTTTAAACCTCTGTACTCTACTGGTTTTTTTTTCAATATGACATTTTTAAACTTAGGGTGTGAAAAAAAGTTTAAATATAAAATCGAAGTTTCAACAAACAAAAATTCACAATATAGGTAAAGGGAGGGAGTTGCCATGGTTACGTGACTGATATGATGCAGCGTGTTGGCTTACTCTCCGCATATTCATCCGAGCTTCCAAGAAGTCCCGGATCGAATGGAGAGGGAGGGTGGGGGGTGGGGAGGTATCAAGGCCAAGGCTTACCTAATTAGGGACGGGAAAATACCGAACTCTCTCTCTCTCTCTCTCTCTCTCTATATATATATATATATATA